AAGGTGTAGTCACTTCTGGCACATGAGGTGTCACTTTCAGCACGTATGGAGTGGTTACTGCCTGCGTAAAAGTAAGTGGTGACACACTTTGAGATGTTGCCTCTTTAATATAAGGCGTGATTAGTTCTGGTACATTCGATGTGATCACTAATGGCATGTTTGAAGGAGTTGCCTCTGACGAAGAAGGTGTGGTTATTGGTGGTATATATGGTGTTGTCATTGGTGCTGCATAGGGTGTGGTCACTTCTGGTATGTATGGGGTCGTCTTTGGTTGTAGATATGGTGTTGATACCCATGGAATATTTGCGGTAGATGACTTTAACATTTGCAGTGTTGAAAAGTATGGAGGGAGATATGTTGCAATTTCAGTTGGCGGATGTACAGGTTTCAATTCTGTAAATGTTTCTGTAGCCTCAGAGATTGGGGATGTTTGAAGATTGGTCTGGGTCGGAGACAGAAGAGGTTGTGACATATAACTCCGAACTGTTGTCTGTTCAAGGGGTATAGGTGTTGAAGTCCCAGGAACAACATATTCAGTTGTGAGTGATATTTTAGGCGAAGTTGCAGGCGGCTGAGATGTTAATAATTGAGTTCTTTCATCATAATAAGTTGTAGTTTCCTTTTTAAATTTTGGGGATGTGGCCCAATTTCTGTGGGGTGTGGTTACCTGTGGTGTGTACACGGTTGTGATATATGACAGAGGGGTTGATTTAAGTACATTAGGTGTGGTCGAGTGATAGAAAGTGGTCTCTTGAAGTAGACGAGGTGTGGTCGCCACTTTTAAGTAAGGTGTGGTATTTTGTTGTGATGGTACATTCGATATGGTTGTTTTTGGCAGGTATGGAGAGGTAGATGCTATTGTGTATAATGAAGTCATCTCTTTGGTTGCTGAGGGTAATGTGGTACCTGAAAAGTATTAAAAACATATAGTAAAACATATAGTATATACAATGCAGATACAAGCGGCAATTAAAGAAAAAGTGCATGTATATGTAACTCACACAAACTTAGAATTTAAAGCTGTGTGTCCTTTGAGTAAAAGGGCACCAATAAATATGAACCTAGAAAAGAGCTTGCTGGATCGAAAATCTATTAGAAATGTATTACAAAAATAGTCAAATCATGGAGCCCTGGTCGCACAGGAAATAATTATGCTCACTTGCCTTAGTTTGCCAGGAAATACTTGTTTTTAGTTCAAACATATCAATATTTTGAATCTAGGTGAATGTGTGCATAAAGCTGACAATCCTGCACAACACCTACGGAAACCAACCCATATGAGATATTTTGTGGTTGAAAAATTGTAGAAATCTTTCTGTAGAAAGCACTCAACAATGATTTTAAGGGAGATTGAGTTTCTGTTATTTTGAAAACAAATTGCATCACACTGTGATCATATTGCACTGGACTGATGCAACTGTAGATTTCCACTCACCACAGCCCTTCTCATCGGAGTAATCTCCACAGTCATTAATTCCATCACACAGTTGACCCTCAAGTCCAGCATCGATGCATAAACCATTGGTACACTGAAACTGACCAGGGCGACAGGCTGAAGGTGTTGTACCACTTGGTGTGGTCACAAAGGTAGAAGTTGCAGCTGGAGTTGTATATTCTGTTTTCAAAACCAAAAGTGTACTATCCAACCAAAACTAATTCTGTTGTTATTATTTGAGTCAAAAGCTGACAGCCTTTCAGGCAGATTATCATGCCATATGAAACTAAATATGAAATTACGACACTACTTAGTTACTGAAAGGCTATCTGCAATTTGAGACTTCTCTGAAATCTAGACTGGAATCTAAACAGGTTGCCTCCATTTGTATCAACTTGATAGGCTCTAGATGTTCTTACCTAGATATAACTCACATCCGAGGATTGCACATCTCAACCTGATTCCTCCATGATATTCTAATACAGAGATCCTGAAGAATCGTGCAACGATAGGTGCTGGAAGGGGGTCCATTTGAATGGTATGGTCATCTTTGTTTCCTTCAAAGACCTGAAAAGAAAGATCAAAAAAATGTAAAGTTATCTCTGATTAATGTGGATTTTACAAAAAGCAGAATTGCATATGAAATCACCAAGGTTATAGCAAAGATTGTATAGCGCCGCACAGCGGCACAAGATGGACAACTCGGCCAAAAAGGTGTTATCACCACAGGCGCCATTCGAATGAGTACATCGATGTGTGTGTGCCTGTCACGGCGCTTGTGCTTGTGCATTTACATGCACTGCGCAGGCATAGTCCAACCGAAATGGCGCCCATGCGATAACAATGTTTTACGTGTATGCACGGTGAAGTTCCCCATCTTACGCCGCAAAATCTTGTGCCGCTATCAGGTCTTTGGTTATAGCACGTGGTGAAATACATGCGACTGCAAAGTTACAATGGACTTCATAACTGATTTCAGAATTTGGTATATTGTTTCCAGTGATATCGTGAAAAAAGAGACCATGCCAAACAACTTTGGGCAAGACAAGTACGTCAATATGACACAAACAGCAACATAAACCTTTGAAAAACTCACCGCATCTTCCCAATCAGGTGTCTCAACAGGTGTGAATTCCTCTCCATCAACACTGTAGAACACATTGAAGAGAGTCACATACTCGTCAGTACCAAACCCACCTCCTTGCACGGCTAAGCCATTGATAATCTTCTCTGATCCCAGGTCAATCGTAACACTCGGACCTTGGTCATTTGTTGCAGGTGCCCATGCTATATAGGTACTACGTTTGAGATTGTCCAGCCGGGCATTAGCAGGGCTGTTTCCTGGCTCAGAAGAGGAGGCATTAAAGGACTTCGGCTCCAAGATCAGCTGATCAAGCAGCGTGTAGGAGAATGGGCATGACTCTATAAAATGAAATATATGCTACAATGAGTCACACCCTACAATAAAAAATAATCTAACCTATTATGGAAAGAAACACTTTCGACAAATATAAGAAAAAGCCTTCTCAGAAAACACAACTTTATCTTTAAGTGTAAAAAAAATTACTTCGACAAATACAAAATTAAGCACATGTACAACGTCCCAGCAGCATAACTTACCAGGTGATCGTGTATTGTACTGAAGAGTTGGAGCAGAAGACGCTTTCAATGTGCCACTAGGCACATATGGTGTAGTCAACGTTGGTGCAGAGGGTGTGGACACTGGTGGAACATATGAAGTGGTTACCTCTGGCACATGAGATGTGGTTACCTCTGGTACATAGGGTGTGGTTACTTCTGGCACATGGGGTGTGGACACTAGTGGAACATATGGAGTGGTTGCCTCTGCCACGTAGGGTGTGGACACTAGTGGAACATATGGAGTGGTTGCCTCTGCCACGTA